CATTTATGCATAGTGACGGTATTTTCTCAATGGAGAAAGAAAGAAAGAAAATAGTAGCAACTGGAATGGAAAGAAGACACAAGAAAAAGATATAAATGTCGTAAGAAGTTGATAATCAAGATTAGCCGCTATTTCTAAAAAAAAAAAAAGAGTTGTTCCGAAACGGCAGAGAGAGATCGACAAAAAGAAGTATATTTCAATTTCTTCTTTGTCCATACATCCTACTCTGCGATTGTAAGCTTTTTGTTCCACAAGTTGTCGATGATGCAGCGCTGACTGATGCCACCGATCAATTGGTCATATTGACTAAACAATCGCCAATCGACGATGTGATGCTTCTCGGCCTATGGCGCTCAACAATGACTCTTCGTCGAAAAGAAATTGGCAATAAAACAACACTGGAAATAATTGGTCAATATACCGGTTACTCAATGCCGTTTTTAGTGCGCCATGTCGAACCTTGAAATGTCTTTTATTCGTTGTCTGTCTTTTCAGATTTTTGAGGAAATCCAGCTCACGCATGGTATTGACATTTGCACAACAATACGTAACCAAGTTCCAATTCTGCTGGACAAATTCTCCCCCGATCCTTCGTTTACCAATGGTAATATTATTTGTTGCACGACAAAAACCAATATAATATGATTCTCAATTTATTATAGATTCAATTCCAATTCGTTTATTGAAGGTATTGTGTCGTTATTTTCAAGAATCACCACATCATATCATTAGTACATCGGTATGTCCAGTTTCTGACATTGTTTGCATTCAGATCCTGAATCTTATGAAAGAGATTGATGTTCAAATTATTTATTTGCTGTCTTATTCATATGTAGGAGCCGTCATCACCTTATCCATCGATTATCATCACCGACGATGTCTTTGATGTGTACGTTGATTACCATCGAATTACGCGCACGAATTCATCTAGTAATGTTTTGGCTTTGGTTCTCTCGATGTTTTCAGTATTTGAATTGGCATTCGCGAAGAACTCACGAGTCCTTCGATTTTTATACGCTATCATATTCGGCGAGAAGCGATATTTATCCAACGTTATGCGTAACATTATTCGTGAAAAATCCATTAATCTTTATTTCAAAAAGAATACTATCACATCGCGTGCCTCCTCGTCCAACAGTGAGTACTCTTTTCTACTGGATCGTCTTAAACTGCCTTATCTCAGCTTCAGCTTCATCAGTTCCACTCGATCGTTCTACAACAGGTGGCGAAAGCAATCGTGTGATTTCAAAAGATCCACCAAAGGTGACGCAAACTGCAGACATTCGATCATTCCAGTGAGTCAAACTAAACCACATTAAGTTCATTTACGTATATTTCTTTCTATAGAGGAAATACCACAGGATCAAACAACAACAGTGAAATGAAGATTATTTTGACTGAAGGTCCATCTTCGAATACCCAATCGTTTTCATCATGTTCAAACGAGCTTGAACCAAGTGGTTCACGAAAACGATCACGTGATTTTTCATCGAACCATGATCCTCTTAGATCGAGATTTGATGACGACGATGATGATAAACAATAATCACCACGACTAGTCATTGACATAAAACCACCTCCACGTCGAACATCACGCAACCGAAAGCAAGCAAAACGCATTTGATTCAGCTAACCAATAATTCCTCCATTCAACTCTTTTGTTCAACAATTCTACGAACTATTCTCATTGAGACTATTCTCACTATCATTTTTCTCTAACCTCTCTCATTCACCTTGTGGAACCTCTCTTTTCCGTTCGTTCTTGACACTCTACATATATTCTACTGAGTAAATTGGAATCACAAGATACTTTCTTCTCAATTATGGTCAATATTCAAAACAAAATCGTGTCATTCGTCTCTCCTCCGACTAAAACTTGATCTATTCCTACCATGCAATCGTTGAGTGTGAATCGTTGAAGGATTTCATCTGTATTAACCATTTGATAACACAGACTGAAATGAATTTGTTCTTTATGAATTGATTGATATTATTCTTCTTTAGATGGAATCTCTAACGGTCAGTACCTGTGGAAGATGAATAAGTCTGTGAATCAGCTCTTTATTTGGATAGACGGTTGGGATTAGGCATCCTCCGAATGAACGATGGTTTTGGAGATGGAAGAACTCTCAGAAATGTCAACATGAATGGCGTGGTGTTATCTCTGTTTGTTTGCCGAGCAACTCAGTTAGAATCGGGCACCAGTCGTTGAAATGGAGAGTTACTTGAGAGGAGAAACTTTCGAGATGAACATTATAATGTTTTGGTTTATGACAAGCATTTGTGTAGTGGAAAAGAACCTCAAGGAAGGTTTCTAAAATTGCAACTGATAGTGAACCTTTTACAGTGAACCACGGAAAACACGGATGCATCAACGTTTTCAGAAACCCAAGTGCAAGGTGCTGAAACCTGCACTTTTCCCCTTGACGATTTTACATACCCAGAATATCTTCTTCAAAAGGGTTTATGGGAAAGTTTATAGATGGGGTTTCCCCCTTCTAAAACCCCCAAAAAGGTTCACCATTCGTTGCAAATTAAAATAGCCTTCTCAAGAGTATATAAGTTTCATTCAAGTGCTATGCTCAACGATACTAAACTATGACTAATGTGCTTCGAACACGTTTCGATCACATCTTATGTTTAGATGGAAGTTGTATGCAAAATTAACTTGCACATACTGTTTCCAAATGTAAAACTATTCTTCATCCCTCTGACCTGAGACTAAATATTAGCAAGCTTATATTATCATTGGACTCATTCTTGATGTTGTTCAGCTGCTATTTTAGTGTAAGCTCAGAAGGACGAAGAATAATTTCACATTTGGAGTCAGCATGTTCAAGTTGGTTTTGCATACACCTGTCATTCAACCTTCAGATCTAATCAAAACTTCTTCCAAGAACATTCGTCATAGTTGAGCATCAGTGAACATGGCAGATAATTATTATTAAAGTTAATCATAATTGAACTGGAACCTAGTGTTGTTGATTTGAATTGGAGATTAGTAAATTATAATACGAATGTTAAATGAACTAAATTCTTTCCATTCATCGTTGAATGTAGTCATTGAGTTTTATCTTCTTCGAACAGTCTAAACAATCAAGTGACGATCAATAACAGAATTGAACCAGCAGATAATTAGAAAACGAAAAATATTCTAAAAAAGAATCATTTTTTCTGGCATACTCTTCGGTCTTCGTTTTGACGTTGCATTTCATCTGATTTAGAATAAAGAAGAGAAATCGGCTTGAGATGAACATCGAATACTCTTTTTACTTACCTTTTGAAACGAAAGTTGTATGCTTCACATTGGATAACATTACTCTTATGAGTAGTTGACGAGAAAAAAGGCGATCATATGTTGGATCCATATATTTTAGCTACATACACATTGAGAAGATGATAGTTCTCGAAGTTTGTACAACCAACTGATCTCACACGCGTTTAAGCGCTCATAATCTGACTATTCTCAGTCTCAACACGCGTTTTGGACGATCTCAATCTGCTTGGGTACTGTAACTTGACTGCCTCTCTTATTTATACAATGTCATGATTCTGTTTCTCTTATCATTCCTTTTCTTCTGCACACGCCGCATGTCGTCTCTCAAGTATAGTCAACATATAAACGGTTATGATCATTTTCTTCTTTCTGGACCATACTAAATCGAAATACGTCCATAAAAATCAATGACTCGTGACAAATTCTATTTTTTCCTACTTAAGTTTTTCGAATAATCGAAAATCGAGGAACTCTATTGATAGAGATTTCATCCTTTTGTAACCTTTTTTCGTATTCATTCTGAAGTGTTTCTTAACTGCAGCAACATTCTCTGTTTGATATTAATGTTGACCAAAGAGAGTGTCATTGTCAACATATTTTTCTAGAAGAAAAACAATTGGTAATGAGTGTTATCAGTGACGAATGAAAGAGGATGATAACAGTATATATATATATATATATATATATAATGTGGCTTCGACTATATGTATAGTACTATTTATTAGATTGTCTCCTTATTAACCTGTGACTTGTCTGCATCGTGTGCTGTCAAATTTTCCTCTAAATCATTGCTGGCATGGATCATGATCTAGAATCGGAGAGAACTCCCATTATCCCCGTGTCTGACGGCACGCTCTCCATGAAAAAACCTGTTTTCATGAGCAATCGACCATTCTGTGACACAGGCATTACCAGAACACGTGTGCTGTTATACGGGTTTTTGATAATCTGTATTTGTGTATTACCTTTCACTGAACTGATCGTTGGTAGTGTGTATATAAATGCATGTCCCATCAATCATTTCATTCCAATATACCTTATTGTTATGGGTGTTACTATGTTAACTTTCTATCCAATATGCTTTCTCGCGGTAAAATTCACTCGTTTTAATGTTATATTCTATGTTTCGTTTTTTTAAATCATCTAGAATAAGGAATAAAATATATTTGCATTGGTCTGTCGATCATATTGGGGCTATTTATGTTGGGTTGGTTCCTTGTTGTGAGTAGAATTCTATTCCAGACTGTTCAAACTGTCTCACGATTATGTCTGAATTTTTCTCATTTAGGGCTCAGTTTGGGTTTTTAGTAAACAGAATACAGTTCAGTATAATACTCCTAATGATACGAATACTTACTGTAAACATGCAGCATTTCGGACTGCCCACGTGTCACTTGTGATTTTCTTTGTTATAGTTGTTTGTCCAATCCTCTTTCTGTTCGGGCAGATCTGTAAGTCATGCTTCGCATGTCATTGATCGATTTTTTAAATATTTATTTTCCTTTGTTCTGATTAAAGTTCGATTGGAACAACAATCATTCATAATTTATACAAAGATCTTTTCGAATTTTTCCTGTTGTATTCTTACGCTTATTTGCATAATTTCGAATAAAGTACTAAGAAATCGGGATCAAATCAATGTAGCTTGTTTTTTTTGTTTAGTAATAATTTACTTTCAAATCTCGAATTGCAGACAGTTTTTTCTATCGACTGACTGTGGATCAGCGATGATGAATGGATGTGAGGTTGACATGACTCAACACCCTCATCCTCAATACGATGGTGGAGGATAATTATCTTGTCGTTCCAGAAATGGTGTTGATACAAGAACGACTTGATTTGAATAGTATATTGCACTTTCACTTTCTCGAGCAGCAGAACGAAGTATATCAATCACCAGCTAAAAGAAACGGAAACAATAGAAAGATATATGCTCGAATAAAATGATAATTGATCACCTCTTAATATTCCGGTTGACTTATTATTCCATTTAGATGTATTAGTTAGGTGGAATCAAGCTCTGCTATCAAACAATCATCTAAGAATGAACAGAAACAGGAAAGATTTAGTTAAATAGAAAATGATTGTTTACTTTGAATCATTGACACATAGACTGAATTGGGGTTTCACGCTAAACCCCCCTCATAATAGAAGACACACTGTACAAAAAAAGGTGTTTCAAGAAACGTAAAAAGGTTCATAAAGCTTGATAATACTCTTGAACCGTTGTTGACAACTCTTAAAACGTTTTTTTCGTTTATAACACGGATCGTCTTTTGAGAAATAGGTTTATGATGTCGTAAGAAGGTTTCCTGAACTTATTCTTACTTCTCTTTTTAATGAGACAACTAGTATGTAATTATTTTTAAAAGCATTCAATTGAATTTCCAGGACATTTTTCTTGTAGTTATTTTATTTGAATTTCCTGGAAAGAGGAATTTACCATACCCCCCCCCCCTCATAATAAAAGACCCCTGGTCTTCTATTATGTTTTAGCGTCCAAACTTTCTAAAGGGTCTTCTATTATGATTTCGTCTATAAGTATCGAGTATTGCTGTTACATTTTTTTAAAAATTTAATTGAGTTTTTGGTCGTGCGTCATTATTATATTTCCCATACAAAATAAAAATAAATTTTCTTTATTACTAATCCAATTCCGTAATAGAGCAGTTGAGCATCCTTTTTTCCTAGCGGTTTCTCGTTTATTACGATTTTTTTCAAATAAAACTACAGCATCAATTTTTTCTTGGATGGACCATTGACGCCTCTTTTGTTTCGTAGATTTGTCTTGAACATGAGCATTAGCATTTGATGTGGTGAGTGGCAACACTTATTGAGAATCATCTGATTGATCATCACTGTATGAACATGAACAATGTAAAGAAGAAGGTGGATCAGGCCATTCAAAAGTTTGATCATCATCATTGTCGGCTTCTGACTCTAATATAAGATATTTTGATAAACGAATTAATTCACTTTCACATTCATCAGGATTCTACGTGATTTCAACACTTGAATCATCATCAGAATCATTGTCATAATCGAAACATGAATTTTCGTCACTACCAAGAAATAAACGATGTTCATCCATAATTTAATATATCTAAAAATGTAAATAACAGCTGATAGAATAGAAATAGAGGCTAATCTTGATTATCAACTTCTTACGACATTTATATCTTTTTCTTGTGTCTTCTTTCCATTCCAGTTGCTACTATTTTCTTTCTTTCTTTCTCCATTGAGAAAATACCGTCACTATGCATAAATG